TCTTATTTCCATCAAATTCTATAGGTTTCCTCTTTGAACCCATTGAAGAATCAACCTTCTTGTTGGCTCTGTGGATGAGATCGACGAGCTTCATGAGAGTCGAACTGATTGTCTCGATCTGTTTCTCCCTCACATCAAGCCTTGTTGAATTGTCGCTATCCATCATCTTCTTCTTCCTTGATTTCTGGACTTCTTCCAAAGAAACAAGAATCTTTCCTAGCTTCTTGTACTACGATTGAGTAAGGACCATGCACAGGATACACCCTTCACAGTATCTGAAAGCTCTGATACTAACTTGGTACGAGTCGTCATACGAGTACCTTTGATCGCGGAATTATAAAAGGTGTATTTGAGAAGAAAACAACAAAACACACGAACAATTCGATATGGAGAAGAAAAATACCTTCTCTTGATTATGAATATCAATTATTTACAAATCTCTCCTCACAATCTCTCTATAATAAAGAACAAACCCCTTTATTCTCAAAACTCATGGATTTTCTCCCCTTAACAATTTATATAGACCCTAGAAACCAAACCTACCAGGAAATAGATTTTAGCCCAAACAATCCGACATCAGTCGACTGATGAGCCTGTTAGTCGACTGGTTTGTCTTTGTTAGTCGACTGATGAAGCCATCGGTCGACTGGTCGCGAATGTGCACAACGTGCACAACTTCATCGGTCGACTGATCCTCTTAGTCAGTCGACTGATGAGTCTGTCAGTCGACTGATCACCTATCAATTGACCGAGCAGAAACTTTGCATGATTCCAGGCGTTTTCATCGAGCGAATGACGAACCCGTCGATCGACCAATAAGCTATTTTCTGCCAGCTTCGAAATTCTAGTCATACAAACCAGTCTGCATTCGCCAACATTATTTTCTAAGCTTTTATTCTCAAGATACCATGAGAATCATCTATCCTCAAGCTTCCATGAGAATTGGTACATTCCTAAAGCAATAAAGATACACCCGTATCAAGTGTATTGCTTTTATTGATTTATTGTATTCATAGGATCTTGGAGTTGGGATTTAGCAATTTATAGTTTGAGATACATGGGTATATACATGAGGGTTTTCTTATTTGGATTATTTCACTCGATGTACTCATTCTCATGTTGTGAATTTCTAAATCTTAATTCCTCTTAGTTTTTGCTAGATGATTTATATATCTATATGTACTAACTTGTATTTTTGTACTTCTCACCCCTTCCCCTGGGGGTAGTGGAGATGTTCTCGCTAGCGTTTTGATGCTCGTTGTTTCCCCTCTTTTCAGGTAGCGAGTCAGGCG